CCTGACGCAGATCGACTCAAAGTTACACTCTTCCTCCGTTCTGTTTTATTTCTGTAATACATTTGTATATATTAGATTGATTGATATTAAATGTTACAGTGTTGCAACGCTCACTGAAGGATAAATGATCGGATTCTGGTTCTTCCAGTGAGTGTCACGATTCTCAAAACGTTTACGTTTTTGGAAATGGCAGCAGATTAAAAAAAGGTCTGGATTCACATTCTTCAGCCGGTCAGGAGGAGAAAGAGAAAAGCAAAGAAATAAAGGTAGCGAGGCAGGAGGAGGAGGAGGTTTTCAGAAAGTCTCTTCAGAGAGTCGTTAAAGAGAGAGAGTCCCAGGTTGTTCGCACTCTGTCTTTGCATTTTTCAGCTCAGTACTTCAGAGCTGCTGCTGAGACTTTCTGTGCAGTTTGGACATGTGACTGAAAATAAAGAGTGCAGAAATGAAGGTTTTACCTCCAATCTGTTTGCATCGTTTCATTAAAACTTAGTACGTCTGATGATTTGTCCAAATGTGGCACAAATATTCAGAAAATGAGAAAAAAAAACGTTTACTTATTTATTACAGACATTATGTGAAAATTAGGTTTTCATCCTACTTCATATACTCTGCTGGGTATCCACGTAATTCCCAATCCGATCTATTATTTATCCCAAGCAATGTTTGGTTTCTAACAGGCTTGTATTTCAAGCTTGGGTTCGGGTTCTGCCTCGGAGCGTTCCAGAGTTCATGTTTATCTTTAGGAAGCTTCTGTCTCCAAACGTCACAGCAGTTATCTTCTGGAGTGTTTGCATTTCCATCTCTGAAGCTGCTGGATTTACAATCCTTACCGATCATTTACCCGAGAATCATTTATTTGCTCGCCTGATGCCTGATGCTAGCATTCATCCATAGGAATGATTGGCTTCTAACCTGGAGCATCGCCGTGTTCCTGTGGTTTTAGGGTAAAGCTGTTTGAAGGGACACGCGTGGTGGCAGACTCTGGTGTTGTGGTCGACACCACCATGAGAGGAGGACGGCTCGGTGTCTTCTGCTTCTCCCAGGAAAACATCATCTGGTCCAACCTGCGCTACAGATGCAATGGTAGGACCGCCGACCCTGCTTGGCATTATTTTGTCGTTTTATTTGTTTCTGGGGAGTCCTGGAATATTTTGATAAGCCTTTTACGGTGCTAATATGTCACTGCCGTGTTGAAATGGACGATTGTGTTACCAGTGACACCGATTCACCTTCAGACTTTTCAGTTTTTCCTGAACATACAAGAAGTTCTTAAAACAAGCCCATAAAATCCCAAAACCTTGCCTGATTTAAATACCACTGATCCAAGATCATCTTCTCGCATGGCTGGATGACTTCCTGGAAGCTCGTTCTGACCACAAACATGCAAACACCAGCTTCTGTCCTGAAGGGATCCTAGCGTTGTTTCAAGGATCATCACGACTGATGAGAGCTGGATCTGCAGCTGCCACCAAGCAGTTTTCAGCTCGAGAGTCCACAGTTCCCAAGTACAGAGGCACCTTGTCAGGAACCTGGTGAGGACTGACCCAAGAGTTTGATGATTCATGGAGTTGTGAAAATCTGTGAAATGTGAACACTTTTTATTTCCCTGCTGTTACACCAACTTAGTCTTTGCTCACCACTTGGAGCTGTTGTCCCATTTGGCTCGTTGTGACTTCATCCACAACGTGAACACTTGTTAAAGGATCACTGTTTTGACAGGTCCAGCGCATATCACAGTTACACCAGTACAAGTGCAGTGCACCTCTGCACTGGCCCAGAGGAAGGAAGATGATCTTGAATGGGAGATTGGCTAATCTGTAGTGAGGCAGGGTTTTTACTTTTGGCCGTAAAAGGCTGATGAATGTTGTCGTCACCCTGCTGATGTCTACTGAAAATCTCAGTCACCTCGACCTCAAGGTCGGGGGTCAGGTTTTCTGAAAAGCTTGTAAATGTGATAATTGAGGAGGAACCAGTATTTAAAAATATTATTAATCTAAACAATCCTCCTGCTATCATTTTTACCCCTCGGCCGTAAAAGGCTGACTGAATACTGTCAGCACTCCTTGGATCTACAGAAAGGGTGCACATCCTAGTTGGTAAATACGATAACTAGAGAACGAGTCAACGTAGGATT